TGGAAATCACACCTTATGTTCCAAAACCTGTTTCTGGCATCAGCCATAATTCTAATCTTCTCTTTTCCCCCCCGTTAATTGAAATTTTAAGATGGAAAAGAATAATGAGCTTAATTTCTAGGGAAGCAGAAACCATCTGCTTTAGGACTTTTTTCCCCCCTTTTAGAAAAACGTGTATCATTAAGCAGGTGAAATCACACAGCTTACAAGGAAGAGCGCAGCTTGACTTCCTCACAGGAAAGAAACTCAAAGATGCTCAAATAGCAACGCCTGAGCAGCAGGACCTTGTTTCAGCCAAGAATAATGATCTAATCCCATCCAGCAACGTGTATTCAACCCAGACAGCTCTGGTTTTGAGGTGCCCTGAGACAACTGGGTGCTGATTTACGGTGTGGGCAGTATTAGTGGATACTTGCCATGCTCCTCTACCTGATCTCGCCCAGTTGTGGGCACTGGCAGGCAATATTGAGCAAGGTGGACCTTGGGTCCTACTCAACATCCAGTTCTTGCATAAGATAATAAAAATTTAAGAGTTTCCCAGTGGGAAGTGGGTTTCAGTTGGCAAAGCCTCTTCTGCAGGGACAGACAAGCCTCAGTGCTGAAAGAAGAAAACCAAACTTGACTAAAATACTAAGGTCTACACGTAAACACACGACAAAAGAGCACGTATTATAACACGGAGTTCATCTGCCAAGTCTGGTTTATATAATGGAAAACACAGTTCTGCTACAAGGAGAGCTTTACCACTCTCTCAAACCAAACTGCACCAAAAAAAAAATAAAGTATGTTTTTTAATGAAAGATACAGGTGAGATTTGATCCCAGTTTTACCCAGGCCGCACTGACTAAGGAGCAGCCTTCCTGAGAAATCCAGAGGGGATGTTTTCAGGTTGGTTGGTTGTTTTCTTTGTTTCCCCCACTTGCATTTTGATGCGATCGTTCCCCCTTAGCTGCCAGCATTTGCATTCCTCAGCTGCTGTCAGGCATCTGCAAAGGCTGATAGCGGGCTCCGTCTGCAACGCGAGCGCGAGCTGTTTGGAACAGACGCCTTTCCGAGCTTCCGGCACAGAAGGCAATGGCCATCCATGCTATTTCCAACCTGTATTTGTTTCCCGTGCTGGGAGAACATCCTCCCACAAGAGTCTGGATCAGTAACTCCCTGAGAATTCAGCCTGGTCAGTGCTTAGGATCCACCTGAGATATTATGCAAGACACTGCTCCATCTGTTGCAGAAGAGAACTTCATCCGAGGTCTCTGAACGGACACGAGGACAATCATTTCTGGCTCTGAGATCAAGTTCTAGTAAAGAGCTTAATGGGACTCAGCACTACCGGAGCAGAAAGCAGACAGGAGTGATGAGAGCAGGCCAAGGGATGTGCTACGCAGAAGAACTTGTTGCAAACAGGTTTCCTCTGCCCCTCATCACTCCAACTTTCAACAGAAAGAGCAAAGACAACCTTCAGTATTCCTATTTCTCTAGTGATCTCGTTAGTGCTTGAGTGATGCCTGTGGCATCTATTTGGGCTGGTTTTAACCAATGAGTCTATAGACTTTTTTTTTTAAACATGAAACTATCACATTGGTATGGTCACAGGTTCAAAAAACTTAACTGTAACAGGCACACAGAAGTGGAAGCACCAACGTGCACAAGATTTATCTTCTAGAGAGCCGCTAGCTGATTGTCCCAAAGACGAGTTCATTGACTGCATCTTCAGGAAACTATGTGTGAGTCAGCATTTCCAGTGGAAACTCTTCTGTTCAGGAGTACGAGAGGCTGAGGTTTGAGTCATCCATCACTGCAGTCTGAGGTACGAGTAACACAGGAGAACAGAGTTTGTAGAGACAGAGAGGATCAGGGAAAGCAGAGATCATTTCAAGCCTGGGTTTAAGCTTTCGTATTTTTGCAACTGCTCTGTCTCTTCACAGTGAAGAGAGATCTGGATTTTTATAATCAGTTTGATAAATCTGTTTAAAAACCTCTCGCCTACTTTTGTAGGACTTCTGTATTTTACAAAAGAACCCAAACCAACCACACAACAAAACCCATCATCAATAGAAATTTCACTAGGGCTTTTTCCCACCCCCTATACAGACCAAAGAAAACCTCCTAGCTCCTTCTGTCTCGTTTTTTCAGCAAGCTCTGTTAAAGACAAAGCAGCTTTTCTTTGTTGTTGCTGCGCAGAGGTGTGAGACAGCCCGCACGTGCGGGAAACGCGTTTCAAGAGCCTCTGCAATTGTAATTAAATTGGGAAGGCAGAGGGAAGTTAAGCACATCATGTTCACAGCGTGTGAAACACCAAGTGAAGACAAGGCTGCTGGGTGCCGCCGTTCAATTCAGTTTTATTATCATATAGATTGTTTCCAAACTTAATCAGGGATACCAAGGGCACATCTGAGGAACAGGTCACGCTCATGAAGAATTATCCTTGGTGGGGGAGTCTGGTGAGCCCGTGAGCTCTATATGTCCAACCAGAGCAGGTGTACAGATAGAGCAGCAGTCTGGCCATCGTGAGCTACTGTGATTGGAGAAGTGACTCACGGGGCCAGGCATTCACAGAAATACTACCTGGTAAGAAAGAACAGGAGCAGCAGGAAGGAGATGTTAATAATAATAATAATTAGAGTTTAGCTTTTAGGCCCAGATGAACTCTAAGCAATAAACCTCTTTTTGATAGCTGTTTACAGCAGTTACTTATTCAAAGTAGCTTTAAAAAAAAAAAAAAAAAAGATAATTTAGGCCTGTAACGCTCCTGTTAAATCCAAGCGTAACTTATCCTTGGACAAGTTCTGTGAGTGCAGTTACATGATTTTAAACGGCCATAAGACAATGCCAGTCCAGCCAGCCTCGCATCCCTGCAAATGGTTTTGGAAGAGGGAAGTGAAACACAGCAGCAGGACTGTTGCTGGTGACAGCTTTGCATGTAGTTAGGTTTGTTTTGTTTCCGACTCGAGAATCCACACGGCTCGGCTCAGCGTCAGGAAAGTGGGACCTAGCGTAAGCGAAGGATTACTCCAGCTGGCAAGGTGGTGGTCCTAGGGCTGGTGTGCCAGAAGGCTGCAAGATAGCCCTGCTAATGGCCTTAGACCTTTTAGACAGCTGAAAGGAGAAAATTTTTATTTATTTTTCCTGTAGGAAGACTAAACCAGAACTGCAAGTCCCACGCTACAATTTATCAATAATAATAATAATAATAAAAATCTGGATAGAAATACTTCCAGTCTTAAGAAGATCCCGCACCAAGACAAATGCTGAGACTCATCGGAAGATCAGGATGGGATAAGGTGTAGGAAAACATAGCACTGACTCTATTTCTCCCCCAGTACAACGCTGAAGACTTTGCTCAGAGGGAAAGCAGAAGCTAAATAAACACTGACAGACAGCATGTGTGCAATTTGGATCCTTACAGAGCATTCACGGCGGCATTCTCCAGCAGGAGAACATCACTGACAGCAAGATGACAGCGTTACTGAAACGGATCACCCCAGCCTAAGTGACACGGACTCTCCTCTCCTCCGTTCAGATGCAAAGACTAACCTCAAGCGACCTCCCACAAATTCAGGGAGAGCACAGGCTTGCACGGACATGCTGATTGCATTTAATCCAGTTCTACTGCAAAAAGGTGTACGACAGCGATGCAAATACGCTTGAAGTTCCTGAAAGCGGACAGAGACAAAACCGTACTGGAAAGAGACAAAAAAAAAAGTGCTGGTGCTATGCAATCCATAATGTGCTCCTATGAAGAGGGAAAAAATATAAGCACAGTAATTAATAAGGACACATGGTTCTACTTTTTTTTAATTTCAAGGGGTGTCCAGAGCAAAGAAAATACCAGTGACCTAAGTCAAAGAAATAAAAACCACAATCAAACCCTAAAAAAACCCAATCAACCAGCCCTCCTCACTTCGGTCTTACCTGGAAAATACTGTTGCAGCTTTTGAGCCGCTGGAAAGACCTTCCCCAGGATATTAACCCAGGGCAGGGAAACTGAAGACAATTGCACAAGTGTTCTCAAACCAAAAAAAAAAAAATTAGTCTCCAGCACTCAATAGCTTTTTGGTAAAATCCCAGATATAAGCACCCGCTGTGAGCCCCCCTGCCTGGAACTCGTGGTACTGAGCGTACAGCAAGCCCAGGGAACATTCTGTGGTTCACCTGGCAAGAAAATAAAAGCTGTCTCCCCAGTATAAACCCTGATTATCTTCGCTTCCAGTTGCCCAAAAACTAAGCACGGGCTACGAGGGCTCAGTTGAATACTGGTCGTCACAGAGGCGCCAGACGGATACCCAAAATAACGTACGCAGCCCTAGGTCAGGTGTTCCCTGTGCATTTAAGGAGTGGGTACAGTGTGCATCCCGTTTCGGGACTCTGGCTCCCCCCAGTGCTGGGGGCACTGAGGTGGAGAGGGAATTTTGTCAGTGAAAGATTTCACCATCACACCCGCAAGCGGAAGGTTTGCTCTTGCCACGTAAGCCACGTGCTGCGAGGAGATAATGCAAGAGCCTTTTATTATTAATTTAGCAGAGGCGAGACAGGGACGAGCACCGCTGCGCTCTCCCTGGGATCCACGCGCAGGAACTTCTCCTGCCTGCCGTACTTCCCAGCACTAACAGACACGACCCGTTCGGAGTCACAAACAGCAAACCTGCGCCACACAGGGACTGGGACACTCGTTTCCCTCCCTGCCTGCTTAAGACAAAGCGAAGCCAATTTTCACATTCCATACCAAAACGTCTGCACCTAAACGTGACGCCTTCGAGCCACTGCCGAGTGACTGGAATGTATCTGACAGTTTATACCTGGAATTATTCTTTGGCTCTTTTTTTCAGTTATATCCAGGAAACACACCACAGCCCGATCCTGTTCCTATTCCTGTTCATCACCGGCTGAAATCCTAACGGGAACACCATGGTTCCTCAAGACACCATAGAGCATGGAGAAAAAGGAGAGTCTTAGTCTTCTATTGAGGATATGCTTCCGAGTAGAGCAGTCCTTCCGCTGAAATAGCGTCCCCAAGTCCCACGGTCCGGACAGGATCTTTACACACCAAAACCGGAGTGAAATGGAATGAGATGCCTTCTCTGTGCCAATGCACCACTGGCTCATCTGGATTTAAAGAGATTTTGGAAGGTGTGTCTGTCTGGGAGGTCACAAACTCCAAAGGAGCTTTAAGAAAGACTTTGCTGGTGTCGATGGTTTCGGTGGCACAGGCCTGCGTCCCCGCTGCTCTGGCTCCGGCAGCCACCGCACCCCAGTGCCCATCCACTGTGACAAGGATGTGATAGGCCAGGGTGTGGAAGTGGATCCGCGTGAGATCGGAGGCCCGCTCCGCTGCCTTCCCATGCTCCTTCAGGATCCAGAAGAGGATGTCGCTGACGACGCCCACGTCGGGCACTCCGCTCCAGGAGGCGAGGGAGGCGTGAGGACCGGAGGCAGACTGCGTGAGGAACAGCAGCTCCTGTTCGTTCAGCCCAATGGAGTTCACCAGGGGAAGGACCTGCTAACAGCAACACAGAACAACAGGTTTTTTCTTCAGAGAGAGAATCACACTTCAGGCTTCCTCACGCAGGGTATTGCCTTTGCAATACACTGTTCTACTGGCTGCCGCCGGCACGGCAGAAGGGAACACCCTGTTTCCTGGAGAGACGCAAACAGAAGTCATTGCACAAGCTTCCCCAATTCAACAAGTCTGCAAGAATTACTTGGCCAAGAAAACATTTCATGCCAAGGGGGCACGCTCGTTTCGTGCAATGCATTTTCTAGACGCACGCTTTGCCAGTAAAGAGTAACAAAACATCAAATCCACGTGAAACGCTCGTAACACTGAGATCAGAGCTGCGACAAGCTAAGCTAGGAACCATGGGGATCTGCAGGGAAGAAATTCTGCAAAGAAATTGAGGGTTTTTTAAATGACAAACTCAGCTCAAATTCAAATCCCGTTTTCTTCTAGAAATCTGCAAGCCTTCTAAACCTAAACCACCCAAAGTTACTTCTAGCTGTGGAGTTGCAACTATTCTCGGGGTCACTTTCCCCTTGTGACTGAAAAAAAAAAAAATCATCTTTCTATCAGAACAGAGCCCAGCTGTGTTGCACAGTATTTTTAATGAAGGCAGTTGCTGAATAAACTCTTATCTGCCAAAAATCCCTCCTCCTTGTCGAAAAGGGTTTGATGATCAACTGAGGGCACTGCAAGATACCTCCCTTTTAAAAGGGATACTCTGAGCTAAAGAGAACAAATCTGTCCTCTGCTAAGCCACGAGTCATGGCAGTTCTCCTTTACGGCACAGAGGAGAGCCTGGTAGGCTCTGCAGAGAAAAATCAAAGCATTCAGAATGCAATAGTAGATGTTCAACCCCTGTTCTCAATTCATCTTCAGATGCGTAGCCCTCATGTTAAGTTTTCGTTTCTGTGTTCATCTACCAGTCTGCTCATTGCGATACCGAAGAAAGAGAAAACTGGGAAAAAGCGCGTGTCCTTTCATTTTCGGTACCTGATGCATAATGTTGCTCATAAAATCCTGATCAGTCATACTGGCCAGCTCCAGGTGTATGGGAATGTCTGTAGGGATATCGGAGATGGAGGCCACAGCCTACAAGGGTACAGGAAAAGGAAAAAAAAAAACCAACCCTCAATCACACATTCATTAAGAAACAGATGGAACAAAGGGGTTTTAACTCAGAAATACACATTGCTTAATCTTCTCCTGTACGGATTTCAACACAATTCCAAACAAGGTATGTGGCAAGTGCCAGAACGTAATGCTAAGGGGAAGAAATAAAAACAGCCTCTAGTTTTCCGAATCCCAGAGCAGGAAAACCATATCTAACCCTAATCTGCACCCGAGTCAGTACTTTGCTAATGGAATAATTCAGAAACCTCACAAATCTCAAGCAGCTGTAGAACAGCTGATCCCAGAAAAAAGGGTGGAGGGGGAAGGCTAGTTCCTTGCATCAGGAAGGGCACTGGGCTGTGAGACAGGCAATGATCTGTAAATAAAACGTGGTGTAGCTCTTTTGAGCTCAGATGAGAAAGCTGCCTCTTGGATTATCTAACATAGATGCTGCTTAAAGAATGCAAGTCTTGATTATAACCTTGATCATCTTAGTATCTGGGATAGAAAAAGTGTAATTTAGCCACTAGATAAGCTCCAGTAACTATGACAACGTACTCCAGCCAGACAACCAGACCTTACCTTCCTTCCCTAGAAAACCCACTGAATCCAGGAAACATTAGTGTTACAGGGTCAGACTTTTGCCATTCCTACAGTTTGCAGGAATTCTTTTAGTGTGCAATACTGAAAAGATTTGTGGGAGATCTGAAGACACAGCCTAATTACAGGTTCGAACCTGGGAAACCAAAAGTTTGCCAAGAAGCATTTGCTGGAGAGGAAAGGAAGGTGGCGTTCAAGTCTCTCACCTCCATAAGTCGTCTCTGCCGCATCTCCTTGCTCTGGCCTTCCATCATGTGAAGTCCGGAAAGCACCACGAGATCTGGCTGGAATTCATCCAAGCTGGACACAAACACTTCCAGCATATTTAAGGCGCCGTTTGATAGGTCATGGGAGAAGATGAAGCGGTTGGCATTGGGTGCTCTCACTTGTCCCCACTCTTCACCTAGGGTGAAACAAACAGAAGCGAGTTAACTCAGAAGAGAAGCAAATCAAACTGCGTATCTGGGGACTGTTTTGGGATATCCTGCTGGAATCTGAAGGCATAGCTTCACGATGTCTGTGCCCGATTACCAGCTGCTGCCAGCCAGAGGAGAAGCCTTCCTCTTTTTCTCACTCATTCTCTTCGTTCACTCCCTCTGCCTCGTGTAGGTGCTTGTCTGATCAGAAGGAAAATGTAATGCTTGTTTGCTTGGTTTTGCAAACTTTACGATGTTTTAATCAGTTGTGTTAGTTTATCATGCAATTCAGTGAGCGCCACAGTCAGCTCAAGCCAAACATTTGGAGTGTGTGGGGCTTGCAGAAAGAAGGGAGACCTTCCTTTTCTGGTGACAACCACCTGTTAGCCTGACTCAAGCTGTACCATGAAGGTGCACCCTCAACACCTCTGGTAGCTCTTTACTGTTCCTGACCGCACAGCTTCCAGAAATGATCTGCAGAAGAGAGCTGGATCAGTGCTATATCTATGAACCGTTTGGCTCCTGGATAAGATCAGGAATGAATGGGCTCCACCTCTGGGACACTGAGCCATGAGAAAACAGGGTAATATGCCTAGAGAGGATACAAATTTCACAAGGCACAGTCCAAGCGGCCAGCCCTCTGCCAGCACTCCCCATCTGTACACGCATCTTTGTTCGGGCAGCAGGCAGTTCCTTGTCCCACTTGTGCTAACGGGACAGAAAGAAATGAGAGGGAATAAATAAACACAGGTTGCAAAGGGCAGCTTGAAGAGAAAGCTCGTGAGACATAAGCATTTTTGAGGCTATTATAGGCAGAATCTCTACCTTAGAACCAGCCTGTGTACTTGTCCACTCAGCTCTCCATAGTATTATGGAGAACATGACCAGCGTTTGTGGAAAAGCCACTAAAACAGCATCAACAGCAACTGGGCTGCTTTCTCTTAAGAAAAGCCTTATGATAAAGTTCTGTCTAGGACAGAGATCCCCAGAGTTGCATCAGGAGGGCAGTTCTCACCTGAGAACAGAGATGCTGACAAAGGAGACATGATATACTAACGTATCACCTCATCAGGACGCTTCCATGAGCACGAACAATTAAGATTTCCTTAGAGATTAGTGTAATTTTACAAGTGCTCCTGTTGAACAGCACTCGTCAGTGATAGTAACCGTATTTCAGCCCGAAGTCCATCAGAGTAGATGCTTTGGGTGCTGCTCCACCTTAGTTTTGCTGCTGAAAAAGTTGAATTAGGTGGTTCTCGCCTTCCCTCCTTGCCAAATACTCCCTCTTCTGTCACACCAATGTGACTCTTGCTGAAGGTACGTATTGAGACAGGACCAGTGGAGTGATGCAGGTTGCAAACAGCAGGAAAATACATGCAGATTTGGTTTAGCTGTTACATTAGGGTTATCCTGAATCTCATCTGCGTGTGGTTAAATGGTACCTTTCTGTTTTCAGAGAACATTCCTGGACGATTTTAGTGTTCACAGAGCTTTAGAATTACACCCATCAGGTCTGCTTAGGCTATGCATCACAGCAAATTGAAAAGTTCACTTGGTTTCTACAGGTTATTGTAGAAATATTGCAATATTACTATTATTACAAGAACATAGAACCAAAGGGATGGCAAGAGAGCAGCACGAGTCAGTATTTACAGTAACCACATTACAAAGCAAAAAGTTTCAAAATACTTCTAGATGTCTGTTCACCTACCACAGCTCCCTGAAGCACATGGAACTACTAGAGCAGCCCAGTGACAGCTGCCAGTACTGATAACTTAACACAGTCCTTCTGGAAATAATCCATTCAAAAAGAACCTAACTTTAACACCAGGACTGTCTCAGGGACGTTCAAGGTTCTCATCTAACATCCCGCCCTTGTCAAGGTACCTGCTTGGTACTCCAAGATAAGATGGAATTCATCTCTTTCCTGCATGGATTCAGGTGGCACAACCACATCGTCATCAAGTAGTTCGTGGAGTTTGGGACCAACTGGGCCACAAAGCAGGACCTGGAAAACAAGAAAAAACAATCAAGGATCGCCTGCCACGTCTCTTGCCAGCATTTCAGTGTATTTAAGCATCACCTAGACAATTGATTTTAAAAATATAACAATTCCATTTAAAAAAAAAAAAAAGTTGAAAATGCTTTTCAACTTCTAAGACCAATCATGTTTTCCACCACAACCTAAGAAATAACTGCAAGATCTCCAGACTCCACAGAGAAGTAATCTGAGCCTCATTAAAGAGAAGCGAATAGCATGAAACTTTTGGAACGCGTACCTTCAGGTCTGGATTTGTTGCAAGCTTCTGACCAATGAGAGCAGCGTTTCCTCCGACGTAAAGCTGGAAAACAAGGAGAGGGAGGTGTGGGCATTGTTGTGCTTTGATAGCTTTCTACATGCTTAGTCCTTAGTAGAGGCTAGAAATTTTAGCTTTTTAGAAAAGCGTCTAGCATTACAGAAGTTAAAAAAAACTTACTGGAGCTGAAGGCAAAACAATTTCACAATTCTCTGTGAGATCTCAACAAGTTGAGTGTTCTCTACTTCTTAAAAATCTAAAAATTCGCCTTCAGGTAACTCACAACCCTGTACAAATCACAGAATCATGGAACAGTTTGTGTTGGAAGGGGCCTCAAAGATCATCCAGTTCCAACCCCCCTGCCATGGCCAGGGACACCCTCCACTACACCAGGTTGCTCAAAGCCTCATCCAGCCTGGCCTTGAACACTTCCAGGGATCAATTCATTCATAACACAAACAGCCCTTATCTCTGTGCGGCTTTTCTGCAGCAGTTTGTAAAAAACTTGTGTTTTTTTAGCAAGGCTGACAAGCAATCATTTAAAAATGCAACAGTTCTTCCTTCAGTTAAACCTGCAACCTATGCCCACAGGAAGTGAGCAGAACCGTGAAAGTTTCTTCAGGCTAGAAAGGTCAAACTTTCAAGTAAGAAAACTCCAATGTGAGCTTTCAAACCAAAGAATATAGATTGTCATGAGGATCACCAACGCTCGGAGACTCTAGAAGGACACACCTAATAAGCAGGTGACTCCAGAAAGCCAATGTAGCAAACGTGGTGAGAAACAAGTCAACACAGGAAATCTGGACCAACAGAAAACATTGAGAGCTCTTCCTCTTTTTCAAAAGCAGCTGACAAACCACACAGAAGGTGGCATTAGGACTTGGTAGAAGTTAGCTAAGTGTCAAGCAAGGTATCCAGTTAGATTCAGAAGACCCTGTATAAATTAGAGCAACAAAAGTTTGCTTTTGGAAAGGCAGGCTTCGGAAAAAAAACCCATTTCTTTCTTTCCCTCACTCCTAGAGATGATTTAAATCCTGCGTTAAGTAGCTGAAGCTGATCGGAGTGTTTACAACTCCTAATGCTCGGATCTACTTCCTCGCTTCCTGCCTCATTACGAGATGTTTGAGCCTTTTACAGCATCAGCCCCATCTGGCTCCCAGATAACACTATTCTCGGAGAGGCATCTCGGACTGCCACTGCAGTCCTGGGAAAGCAATCAAGGGACAGACCATCCAAACTCTGCTGTTTGCAGCAGGAGCAGAGTTTTGCGGAAAGCCCTTAACACTCTCAAGCTATGGCACAGGTTTCTCTCCTGAACGATCTGCACTCTCGCTAGACATGGATCAAAGCCACCAACGCTGCAGAAAATAAGGAACATGCTTCTCCAAGCTTGTTCCAGGTGGAAGACGGACCTGCGCACCAGGGTACTCGGAGGCTGTCCGCGCGATGTGATGGAAAGATTCGGCATCGCTGAAGAAGCGCTCGGCAGCCGCCCCTTTTTCCATGAAGTAAGCAAACGCTTCTTTCAGGTCCTGTCCAGAGCTCAAGACCATGTGATTTTTCCCATCGCCGGGTTCAAGACCGAGCGCCTCCAGCAGCTTCACACCAGACAGAACCACGTCTACGCAGGCGTTGACGCTGGAAGAGAGAAGGAAAACACATCCTGGGAAAACCACGCATACCTTAGGGCGCTCGCGAGACAATATGATGAGATCAGTTCCCAGCCAGTGATGTCTGCTGTTCGCTGCCCTCGTGCTAAGGAAGAAAACAACCCACCAAATGAAAAAAAGCCACAAAGGCACATGAATGTCCTGAAATTCTCTACTAGTTCTCCTTTTGACACGCTTTTATTACGCTCCAATTGCTGAATTAAAACAAGAATGAATCAGCTGCGTGGTCCAGAGGTGGTTGCGTATGTTGCAGTACATTTTACACTCCATGTGCTGCCTTACGTTGCTCAAAAAAGAGCAGGCACAACAAGAATGACATTTTAAAATCCTTAATTATTAAAATAAGGGCTTTTTTTTTTTTTTAAAAAAAGTGTATTTCTGGTTTAAAACATACATACCACTCAGAACTGATAAAAACAAAACTGAAAGTATTTAAGTCTACTAGATCAGCCTCTCGAGTTCCAGCTACTCCCAACAATAACCAAAAGCACACACACAAACACCCCACACATAGGCTGGTTCTGTTTGTAACAAGTCAAGAGAGCAATTTGTCAGCTGAAGTGTTTGAAAACTGCAGTTGCAAAAGGACCACCCCAGATTTCCAGAATCACCATGCAGCCGCCTTCTCTCAAACAGCGGAAACAGGAGAAAAATCCTATGATAGGAAGCAGCAAGAAACATTTCAGCAGGTCTAGGCTTTATGTGGAGTCTAACCTCCAGCTCAACTCTTCCAGTCCCCATTTCTCATCAATTGCCTCAATTTAAACACAGTCTAATTCAGATTAGAGAACAGGAAAGTTCCTGGGCTGGAACAAGGCTCCCAGGAAGAAAGTTTATTCTACTCCTTAGTTTCCAGGAGACACCGTTATATACCAAATATTTACTGAGGTGATACCAGCAATCACTAAAGCATCTTCTGGAACTGCTGTCAAGTGCAATTTCTGTTCCTCTGCCCCACGCTTCCCTGCCAGGGATCCAAACAATCCCCAAAACTTTTGCGGGATCTCCAGCTTACTCTGTGCCCACCCCCGTGACACTCCAAACGCCGATGCCTGCTTACACGTCGGCGTGAAGCGCGCAGCCGTTTGGGTTCCTCCTCGTCAGCGACCTTTCACGCGTGATTCGGGCCGCGACGTGCGAAGGCTGCGCCGTCCAAAACAAAGGACGTTAAAAACCCCGAGGCTTTTCGGTACGGGAGGCAACCAGCTCCTGTCCTCTCAGAAATCCTCTGTATCGCGTGGCGTCTCATTCGCTAAGGAGAGAAAAATCCCCTGGCGCAGTGGAGAAAAGGAAACCAAAGAAAGGATAAGCTCGAGCAGCATTTGAGCCCCGTTTGAGACACTGGAAAACCTATTTTGTCACACATTCACTGGAGAAAGCCCGCATCAGGCGTAACGCACGAGCAAGACAGGCTCCAGCTGCTGACACTGTATCAGCTAAGGCAGAGTAACTTCTTAAAACACTTGGAGGCCGAATCTTCTAGTCAAAGTCCAATTCTCCTGCCATGTCCTTGTATTTAAAAGGGAGTGAGTCAAGCACTATATATAACGGCAAGATTAATGGTCACACATAAAACCAGCATTTAAGATCAATGTGATATTCCCGAACTTGCCCCTCGCCCTCTTTCCAGTTTAGAAAGAGAAAGGGTGTTGGATTTCCCTGCGCACGCACAGGTGTCCTCATCTCCTTTTGCTTCCTCCTCTCCTTTCCCTCCCTCCTCTCTCTCCTTTGCATCCCTGCCTTAACTCCATTAGCTCTCCCCCATCGCAAAGGCTTCGCTCCCTTCCCCACTTTATAAACTCATCTCTCCTACCTATTTATTGCCAGGCAGCGCTCCGCAGTCACCGCCTTCCTGTGGATGGGCCAGCAGCTCCGAGTCCCTCACGCTCCATATATAATTTGTTTTACAGGCAAACAAGCTGGGGATAAGGTCTCACCAACTGGCTCTGAACCCCGCAGCACACTTAAATCACCCAGACACCACTTTTCCGGGCCATCGATCCCCCAGCCGAGGGCCACCTCTGCTTAAGCAGGTGCCGCACTCAGGGAAACTTCCTTGCCTGGAAAACTCCAGGCCTGGAAAATTTAACAAGAGAAGGTTTAACGAAGAGGCAGGAGCTCCGACAGGAGGTCTT